CACTGAAGGGAAGAGCTCAGTGAACGGAACCGCACCTTCTCTCGTCCCTCGTAAACCTGCTTCCTCGTCCCCATTGTCGTTTTTCCATAGCTCTGACCATGCCTTCCACCCCACTGTTGTCACCCTGGAGCGGTCGCGCACGTCCCCGCGTCACGCCCAGCCTGCCCGCCACTGGCCGCGTGGGAGCGTGCTGCACGTGGATGGCTGCGTCTGGTATCACGGTCGGTGAGAAATGCCTGTGTGTCTTTCTTCCAGCTTTACGTTTATTTCATCGAAGGGAAGGTTAGGACTCTGTGGGTCTTGAGTCGGTATGACTGGAAGATGGAGTTTCCCCGGGGGAATCGTTTCTTGCCCGTTGCTGGCATTGAAAGGCAGGCAGCTTTGGTCAGAGCCGTCAGCATTGAGTCACGGCCTTCCGAAGAAGGGAGGTTTGAGAAGAGGTGCCTCTCTCTTCAGTGTGGGGGCTGTGTTTCCAGTTGGTCATGTTTAACATCGGGAAGTCGTGCCACTTCCCGCGCATCCTGACGCTGTAGTTGGTGCGAAGCCCCAGTTCAGGAGGGGGCTGGAAAAGCTCGTTTTTGCTCTCTGCTCGTTTCCTGTCCCTTAATTCTGGCGTGTCCTCCCCGACAGGTGTAGGTGCCCGGAGCCAGGCGGGCCCCACACTGTCCCACGTTCACCTGCCTGATGCCTCACGAAACCATGCTCTCTGCCACGGCTTCTATTTTTGCCAGTCTTTCTTTACCCTTCTCACACTCGTGTCTAGCCTGGTCCGGAGGGGCGCCTGGGCGGCTCAGTGTCCGACTTCGGCTCAGGTCACGATCTCACTCTTCCTGAGTGTGAGCCCCGCGTTGGGCTGTGCGCTGACCATGCAGAGCCTGCTTCGGATTCTCTGTCTCCCTCTCTCTCTGCTCCTCCCCTGCTCTGTCTCTCCGTCTCTCTCTCTCTCAAAAATCAATAAACATTTACAAAAAGAATTTAAAAATTAAAAAAAAAAAACTGCTCTGGGACTCAGCGTCTTTATCACGAAGCAGTTACCCTCGATGCATGTCATTTTCACTTGAAAAATGAAAGGCGTGGATTGGCTGGATGCTGAGGTCCCCCCCCAGCTCTTTCTGTCAGTGTGAGTGAGTCTGGAGCCGCCCTCAGGGTGGGAACTCCCTGGGGCTGCACACCGTATCTTCACAAGTGATTTCAGAAACCCTCGTGGAGAACAACACTGTTGGGAAAAAAAACTGGATAGCGGAAGGAGAAGCAAGCAGGGGAGGAACCGTTTACCTAAAAAGAGAGATGCTGCTTGTCGAGCTTTATTTGTAAAGACGCCTTACAAAGTCGAAATTCTTGTTGCAAATCGATTCATTTTACCTTCTTTTAGACGCAAGGGTTCTTTCTAGGCCTCTTGAGATTTTCCCCCTGGGCCACATGTGCATTTCAGACCTGCAGAAGAAGGCTGGTGAGGTTCAAGAGCATAATTAGGATTGTCCCAGCAAGGCTTGAGGGGGAGGGAGGGGTGTGTGTGTTTGGAGAGAACTGCCGGTCAGGAGAGTGCCTGTCCTAAGTCAGGCCTTCCTCCTTCTGATGCAAAGGAGTACTGGGGGGGGGGGGGGGGGGGGATTTTAGTGTCATAGGGGAGTCCAGAGGACAGGGCTGCAGGAGAGAGGTCGACAGGACCTCGGAGGCCCACTTCGCCTGGTCCTGCACTAGGGAGCATTCCTGGATTGTGCAAGGTTGCCTCTTCGGAAGGTAGTCCTGACCCTCCTCCTTTAGGCCCGGTTGACCGCAGCTGAAACAAGCAATGTGTCCCGAGTCTCCAGCTCTAAATGACAGAGCAGATGAGAGAACCGGGGCCTTTCTTAGGACTGCTCCTCCCCTCCCGCTCTCCGGGCCCAGGTCTGGGGGTGAGGCGGAGTGACGGGCATGTCTGGCGTGTCCCCCCAGGTCCTCGTCCGTCCGTAGGGAAGGCCTGCTGGGACGGGCATGTGGACACGGCAGGAGGCGTCTGCGGAGTGATGGGCGCTCCCACCGCTGTCTCCTGCCGCCCTTCCGTATGCAGAGGACCTCGACTCCTCAGAGGCACCCAGTGGCGATTCACTCGCAAGCAGCTTGACCGCACAGAGTCATGAAGGCAAGGGAGGCGTGTTTGGGGCAGAACAGGAGGCCGTGTAGGTCCTTAGGTGCCTGTGGGGCCTCTGCTTTTCCTCGAACGCCCCATTTCTTTGGTCTGGTCATGCATGTGTCTGCTGGGGTGGGGTGGCTGGTGCCTCAAGAGGAAGGGACGTAGCTTCTGGGCTCTGTGACCTCATGGGGTCCTTGCTGCGGGCAGACCCACCGGGGAAACCCTCCCCACCTCCTCTGCAGAATACCTGTTGCCATCCCCAGGCTCCCGGGCCACCTCCTCTGGCCTCTGCAGACGGGCCTCCTCGAGATGCTTCTAGAGAATCAGCCGGCAGCTTGTTGCATCATGTTCTCGGGTTAGCAGAACTCAGAGAAAACCCACACTCCCTTCTCTGCAGAGGCACGGGAGACAGACGTTGCTTCCTGTGCTTCAGCGGGCTTGGCTGCTGGAGAAGGAATGGAAGTTTTCCTCCCTCCCGTGTTGTATTAGGAAAATAGGGGCGCCTGGGTGGCGCAGTCGGTTAAGCGTCCGACTTCAGCCAGGTCACGATCTCGCGATCTCGCGGGATCTCGTGATCTCGCGGTCCGTGAGTTGGAGCCCCGCGTCGGGCTCTGGGCTGATGGCTCGGAGCTGGAGCCTGTTTCCAATTCTGTGTCTCCCTCTCTCTCTGCCCCTCCCCCGTTCATGCTCTGTCTCTCTCTGTCCCAAAAATAAATAAACGTTGAAAAAAATTTTTTTAATAAAAAAAAAATAAAATAAAAAAGGAAAACAACACACGTGCACTGTGCACATTGCAGAAGTGTCATAAAACTGAAACAGAACACAAGTCGCCTGTTTCTGTCTTTATTCAGAGAAAGCCCTGCGAACTTTTAGAGCTTTCCCCTTCCCATAGTTTTATCTGCACGTGTATAAAAACTTAGTCCGCACAGCTATTTTAAATAATAAAGATTTTTTCCTGTGTTTGTTTATTTGAGAGAGAGAGAGAGAGAGAGGAAGCGGGGCAGAGGCAGAGAGAGGGGGACAGAGGGTCCGAAGCGGGCTCTGCGCTGACAGCAACAGAGCCCGGTGCAGGGCTTGAAGTCACAAACCCCGAGATCATGACCTGAGCCAAGATCGGACGCTTAACCGGCTGAGCCACCCAGGCACCCCGATTTTCAATATATTTTTAATGATAAACTAAAAAATAAAAGCTACGGAGTGCCGGGGACCAGCTCCAGCAACCAGGGGTTCCTGAAGGAAGAACGGCATCGGTGAAAATAAAACAAAACTAAAATAAAAAACTAGAAAATAAAAAACTAAAATAAAAAACCAAAATAAAAACAAAAAATAAAAATGGACGCAGACAACAGCAGTGTGTTGAACTGGCCGGTTTAGTGTAGCAAACGTGGCATTTTCTTTGCTAGTGATTTCCTCGTAGCATACGTCATCTATGTTTTTCTAACATTACCTAATTTTGAAAATGGTCCTATGCGTAAACAACCTTTTAGAAATAACATGGTGATTTTCCCCTAACTTTCCTGTATACCCTTTGATTATAGATTAATTTCTTACATTATCCCATCATGCATCTGCGTTTATCTATAATCCAGAAAGCATTTGCTTTGCTGTTCTCGTGAGAGGCCCTCCGTTGCTCAGCACCTCAAGGGGAACAGTGACAGGGACGTGACCTCCTAACCACATGAGGCCAGAAGAACAATGTGTCTGCCTCGGTCCGAGGTGCCAGGAAGGGGCCGAAAAGGCCTTAGAAACCCATGCCCCATACATTCTCAGAGAGACAAGGCACCTAGGAACCAATGAACCATTCTGTAGCTTAAGCGACTAGGTTCAGTCATCATCTGGAATGCCTCCGGGGGCCGGGTGGGCCTAGGGGCTGAAGTCACCTGTGCCCAGAGACACACTCCTTAGTTGTCGGAGTGGGGCTTTCAAATCCATGTCTCTCCTTTACAGGCCCTCTTTGCTGGCAAATGCATGAGGCCATCCTTCCCGTAAGTAGAGGAGTCTCCATAGGGGATGGCGAGGGCTAAACGTAAGGCCGCACAATTTCTTGCGGAACCTTATTTTCTTCCCTAATGGTTCTTTTCCCAGGGGGCCTGCCGAGGGCAATTCCCCGACAGACAATACCCCGGGTAGTTTTAAGGCCAAATCACCTAGAAGCGGGAGGACAAGAAGCTTCACTGTCGGAGGGTGCCCTGCAGTCACCAATCCGTCCACAGCCCGGGCCCTGCCACTCAGGCTGGGATAGCTCGGCTTCCAGCAACGGAGGAGGAACAAAGTGTCTGTAATAGCTGACAACCGAGCAAATCTTTTGAGCAACTTTCCCCTCGCCCGATTCTTGGAGAATAGCAGGTGGGATTCACGGAGGAGAGCTTGGGTAGGCCGAGCGTCACCACGCGCCCCGCTGTCACCACGGCCATGTCTTCTGGGCCTGGCGCTGCTTGGCGCGTGGCAGGGTCAGCGGTGCCTAAATGTCGTCGGTCGCAGGACAGAAGGCGGACCACAAGGAAGCAGGCGGCACCCTGTGTCGGGCCGGGGGGTTGAGCGAGGCTGTGCACAGGGGGAGTAACCCCAAGCCTGTAAATTAGCCCAGAACATCACTGCTAACAACAGAATGGAAACCACATATGTGGTTGAAAAGTGCCGGGTCGGGGCGCCTGGGTGGCACAGTCGGTTAAGCGTCCGACTTCAGCCAGGTCACGATCTCGCGGTCAGTGAGTTCGAGCCCCGCGTCGGGCTCTGGGCTGATGGCTCAGAGCCTGGAGCCTGTTTCCGATTCTGTGTCTCCCTCTCTCTCTGCCCCTCCCCTGTTCATGCTCTGTCTCTCTCTGTCCCAAAAATAAATAAATGTTGAAAAAAAAAATTAAAAAAAAAAAAAAAGAAAAGTGCCGGGTAGTCATGTTAAAAGAGGTGGAAAGAGCCAGGTTCAATTGCCTGCAATATATTCAGCCCTACATACCCCAAATACGGACGTTTTAGCACGCAATCAGTATTTTAAAAATTATTAATGCGCCATCTTGCCTTCTGCATGTTGAAGCTTTTGAAATCTGGCGAGCCTTTCACACTCAGGGCTGTGTAGCCTCGAGGAGGTTCGCGCGCATCCCCACGTCCTGGTTTCCTCCTCTGTGAATCTGGGCGATGAGGGCACGTACCTGATCAGGCTGTTGTGAGAGGCAAAAGAGAAAGATAAATGTCAAGAGCCTCTCGTGGTCCTGGGCAAGAAACTGCTCAGCAGACACTAGCAGTGACCCAGCTACATTCTCACTTCCTCAAGCTTGTTTCCCTGGCTGGTGTGAACTTTGGTTGACACGTCGTCTCCTGCAATGGGTGTTGGCTGTGGGTAAAAGAGAAACCGACCAAAGGGTCAGGGCCAGAGTTCTGCTAGAGTAGTCGCGGTGCAAGCCCTGTTTTGTTTCAATAAAGCCCATTTTTATGCTCCCCCTCCCCCGGGGCAGAGCTTGGAGCCCCTGGAACATCACAGGTGCGTTTCCATCTGGGTAGAGGGTGGGAGCAGAATGGAGGCATGAGGGAAGAGACGGACTAAACAAGGGTTCGAGTTTTACAAGAGGCTGGACATTTGGAGGAGACCAAGAGAGACTCTGTGCAGTGACTCGTAAACTGTTTTTCGTTCTACGTCTGCGG